CTGGGATTACAGGCGTGCACCCCCGCGCCCAGCTATTTTTATTATTTTCTTTTCTTTTTTTTTTTTTAATATTTATTTTTTAGTTTTCAGTGGACACAACATCACTTTATTTTATTTCTCTGTGGTGCTGAGGAGCGAACCCAGCACCCTGTGCACACCAGGCCATCGCGTTACATCTTGAGCCACATCCTCAGCCCTATTTTTATTATTTTCATTTAATACTTTTGGACTATGGTTGACAGCAGCAACTAAAACTGTGGAGAGTGGAAAAGAAGATAAGAGGGGCAAAGAATCGGCTTTGAACCCGTTTTTCTCTCTGACGAGATTCGGTAGTGGTTTGGCACTTGGGTGAGGAGCCCTTGGAGAGGCTTCCCAGGACACCCCTTAGCTCTCCTGCCCTGGCTGGGAGAAGGGTGCTCAGAGGCTGGTGAGAGGCCTGTGGGGGCCCAGGGGTGAGCAGATCCCCTTCAGGAGGTGACTCAGACCCTGCTCTTCCCACCCCTGGGATGCCCTGGAGCAGGGCCCCCCGGGGAGGCCTCGCGCCAGCTCACGCACGCGCGGGTGCGCGCGGCCTCCTCCCCTCCCCCTCGCGGGAGCCGGGCGACCAATCCCGCGGCCGCACACAAATGGTCGCCCGGCTCGGGGGCGGGGCCAGCAGGGGACGGCGCTGCGGGTCCGAGGTCAGTCAGCCCCCAGCCCCGGCTAGCCAATCACCGCCCTGGGAGGGGGTCGCAGCTCCGCGTCAGAAGGGCTCGGGACGCAACCACTGTGTGGGTAAACTCAGAAGCTCGGGGGAGTCGCTAGCCATCACAATGGGTCGCGCTATTGGGCCCTTGCAGAGGGGTTGCTGATGACAAAGGGTTATCTCACCGGGTCCTCTAGAAGGGGGTTACTTAGTGGGCTGGTCCGTTTTTATAGCAGCTGGGGGCAACATTTCAGAAACACAGCAAACCTTGACTTTTATTTTTTTGTAGCGCTTTAAACAATTAAATTTTTTTTAATTGCAAACGAGTTATTCATTAGTGAGAAAACAGAACCAAGGAACAGAAAGATGATCTGCGATAGAGCTGGGAGAGGACTAGGAGGTGTATCTACCCAAACTACAATTTATTCATCTATATACGTGGCTGGTTTTCTCTCTCTGGCCAGAGTATAAGCTCAAAATGTGTGTCGTTGGTGGTGGACACGCCAAAAGAATACTTGGTACAGAGAACGAGACAAATTCCTTGCTTTAGGGTGGGACAGGTCTCCAAGTCCTCACCGAGATACTGGAGGAAGGTAACTGTGAGTCTCCCGACTGACTTTCTGGCATTCAAAATTCAGCTGCGGTCTAAGGGCACCTCCTGGTGGCAAAAGGGAAGCTATTAGGTGGGTTCTCTGTCATCCTCCAACAAAGCAGAGACATTTATGGAGATTGATGGGTTGAATTTATCTCAGAGTAGAGGTGCCGGGTGCTTGTCAATCACCATTTTTCACTGTGGAGTCTCCGTAACAGCTTCTCTGATACTTTCAAGGCACAAATTCTCTCAGTTGCCCTCCTCCACCCAACTACTTGATTATGTTTGCTTCACTGAATTCTTTTTGTTTCCCAGCCATTTCCGAAGATGCACTGTCTTTACAATTTTAATAACCCATACTGGTACTTGGCTCCCAGCTAATTCTATTTACCTCTCCTGTCCCTTTCCCTTTTCTCTGGACATTTCCAGTTTCTCTCTGTATTCAGACTTTTTACTTTTGGACATCTCTAGAAGCTTCCTTCACCATTTCTGAAACAGCTTTCATTAATCTAATAATAATAATTATTATTATAATTTTAATTATTAGACTAATAATAATAATTATTATTATTATCTTCCATATTAGCAAAAGCTATTTCAGGTAAATTCTATTTACCTGTCTCCTTCCCTTCTCCTTTTCCACTGATGCTCCAGAAGAGACTTCTCGAGATAGTCTGAAACTTCATATAGTGTCTTTTGGATTCTGTTCACTCCAATTCTCCAATTTTCTGAGGTTTCTGAAGCTAATATTTCCTTAGTAACTTTCATCCTTCTAAAACGTTCATTTCACTCACCATCCCTTTCCTTGTATGGTGTTTGTATGTGTGTGTTTTGGTACTGAGTGCTGTGATTTGACTATGAGGTGTCCCCCAAAAGCTCAGGAGACAATGTAGCAATGTTCAGAGTGAAATGATTAGATTTTGAGAGCTGTGACCTAAGCAGTCGATTAGTTCATTTGATGGATTAATAATGAAAATATTACTACTGTGCTGTGTGATAACTATAAGCAGGCAGGGTGTGATTGGAGGAAGTAGTCTCAAAATGTAATCATCTTGTCCCCTTGGCTTCTGTCTCTTTCTTGCTGCTTCCTGGCTACTATGAGGTGAGTGGCTTTCCTTCCACATACCCTTCTGCCACAATGCCTCACCTCAGGGCCACAATAGTGGAGTCAGCTTACCTAAGACTAAGAACTCTGAAACTGTGTGCCAAAATAAACTTTTCTTCCTCTAAATTGTTCTTGTCAGGTATTTTGGTCCCAGTGAGGAAGAATTGACTATCACATGGGAATTGAAACTAGACCATCACACATGCTAGGAAAAGACTAAGCCATATCTCTAGCCCTTTCTAAGATTTTATTTTGAAACAGAGTCTTGCTGAATTGCTGAAGCTGGTCTCAAATTTGCAATCCTCCTGCCTCAGCCTCCAGAGTATCTGGGATTACATGTGCATACCACCATGCCCAGTCTCCTCTGTGTTCTTAACACTGTTTATTCTCTTAGCTGACTGTACCATTCCATCTCCTTCCCTTACCTTGCCCCCATTTTTAAATTTATTCCCTTTTATCTCCATTCTCATTCCTCCATAGGCAACAATTCTAATAAGTTTAATGTATATTACTTTGTGCTCTTGGAAGACATTTTTCATTCATGTTTTTTTTTATTTTTCAAAAACTTTTTGTTGAAGAAATTGTCAAAAAAGTGCAAATGTACAGATAATAGGTTAATGAACTCCTCTGGACACTTTATCCAGCTTTGGCATTATCAACATTTTGCTGATCTTATTTCAAGCAGCCTTTCCTTTTATTCCCCTCCCCTGGAGTATTTTGAAACAAATATCAAGATATAATGCTAATTTCCCCATAAGCACCTCATTATCTGCTTCTAATTTAGAACATCAGCACTTTTTTTGATGCTGGGGATCAAGCCAGGGCTTATATACTCTAGGCAAGCACACTACCTACTGAGCCCATATGCTGTGTTAATTATATTTGTATTCAAGTTTTGCCTAGATTGTTAACAAATGTCTTTTCACAGTTGGCCTCTTCTAATATGGACCTAAGCAAAGTTCACCCATTGTATATTTGCATAAATTATGTAAATTATGTGTGTATAGCTCACTGTTTCTTATTTTTCTCCATTAAGCAATCTATACTATGTGATATCTAACTCCTAAGTAATACTCCATGCTGTGCAGCCACACATTTTATCTACCATCTCTGGATATAGAATACTGCCTCTGCTCCCCATCATTATGAACAAGGTTTTAATTAACATCCTTATGTGTGTGCCCTAATTCTCATGGTAGTGTGTGGGGGGATATTGCTGCAATGCTTGGTGAGTATACAGAAAAGTAGCTTGTCTATGTAGTGCCAAGTTGTTCTCTGGAAAAGCTGTGCTGGTATACCCTTCCTCCAGCAGGGCACAAGGGGCCCTGTTATTTCTGTTTCTGCCATAATGTTTGACATTATCTGGGTTCCTAATTTTTGCCAGGATTTTGGACTCACAGCACATCTTGGCTTGTATTCATTACAAGTGCTCAGTAGCCATAGTTCTTTGTTGCTTTGATTAGCATTTGTCTGGTTACTAATGATTTTAAGAATTTTTAAGAAAATTCTCATGAATTTTCTGTGTCTTTTGTCTGTGTCTCAGATTGCAGTCTCTTTTTTGTTGTTGATGTGTAGGATTTTCTTGCATATTTCTGGATGTTGCTCTGCATTGGTTTAAAAAATCTTCTCATTTCACCATGTTAACTTTGGCCACAGTGTCCTTCATCGGTCAAAAATTATTTTTTTATGAAATCAATTTTTATCTTAAAAAAATTTGTTTTTGAAGTTTCATGTCTTTTCTACCCCCAAATCACAAAGATATTCTGCATTTTCTTCTATTAACAGTGTTTTAATTTTTTTTACCTTTCATAGTGAGGTCTATAATCCATTTAGAGAAATGCAGTCCAACAGAAATATAATGTGAGCCACATAAGTAATTTTAAAAGGGCTTGGGTGTTGCTCGGTAGTACAGTGCTTGCCTAGGATGCATGAGGCCCCAGGTGCCATTCTTAGCACTTCAATGACTAATAATAATAATAATAATAATAATAGAAAATAGAAATGTTCAATAGGGCTGGTGATGTAGCTCAGTGGTGTGACACTTCCCTAGCATGCACAAAGCCCTAGGTTCAATCCCCAGCACCACCATAAATAAATAAATAAACATGAAATAGCAGAAAAATTTCAGTAAACACATCAAAAAGACTAAAGCCAAAGTTTGAAATCCACTTTAATGATATTTTGACTCATCATTTCAACATATAAAAATGAGATTTAAAAAAATTCCCCTGAAGTCCTTGAAATCCAGTGAGCATTTTGGACTTGCAGCACATCTTGGCTTGTATTCACTACAAGTGCTCAGTGGCCATGTGGCTGGTGGCTGCCATATTGGATCATTCAGGTCCACCCTTGCAGGTGGTGGTTAGTAAGAATGCAGACATGTTGATCTCTAGAGAATTCATCCATTTTGATCTGTCCATATTCCCATTGCCTGCCTTGATGGTTTTTTTTGTTTGCTTTTTTTTTTTTTTGCTTTGACTTGTCTTGAATCCTTTACTGCCCCATTCCACCTGTTCTCTTTCCTAGAACTTTGCCTTTCCTCCACCCACAGCTCAAAGTCTCTCCCTGACCCTTGGCTTACCCTCTTCTCCAACCCGTCCTTACTGAATTATGCTCTCAAATAGCTTCAGCTGCCAGGTGTGTGCAGATGATTCTCAGACCACATTTTCCATCTTACCTTTCCATGAACAATAATGTTCTTTAGGGGTCACTTCAATTGCCCTGTTTACACTTATGTTTTACATTCAAATGATCATTTCTCCATTAATTCTTCTCCCCTGTGTAAAAATTTCCAACGATTGGTTTGCTGCTTTGGGGTACATATATCCAGGTTCCCTGAGCACTCATACTGTGTGACTGTCTCCTTCACACAGTGGAGGTTTTACCACTGTGCTTGAAGCACAAAAGACGGTCTCTGTGTAGTGCTGCTCTATATAAAACTGCAAGAGCATGTCCTGGGACTAAATGGAATAACAGAGCAGCACTACACATTTAGTCCCAGGACATGCTCTTGCAGTTATATATATATCCCCACATGTTTACCATGGAAGACTGAACCTCCCTTTCTTAATAGAAAGGGATAATTATCATGTGGGTTATCTGGTCCACCAGATCTCATGTTTGCAGCTCAGTCTGGGACTGTGCTGTGCTAGTCCTAGGACTGCACATTACCTGTCTGTCTTAACTGATGTTATTCAGTCAGGGGTCTGCTCAGGCTCCTAACCAATTATGCTAAAGATAGGGAAGTTTTCCTGAAAGATGGTTGTTTGTGTAGAGAAAACAATGCAAGAACACAGGTTTTTTTCTGCAGGAGGTCAGCAAGGAGTGGCTGCTGTCAACATCTGGAGTCAAACGCGGTTGCCCTGCAACCTCCAATTGCCAAGCCAGAGTCAAGGGAGAAGCTGCCTGCTCTTTTTAAGATACTTGGCTGGATCTAGACTATATGGTCCTGTGTGTGTTTTTTATTTACATGCTTAGGGTGTACCTCATGGCAAGTGGATTAGGAACTGCTACTCCTTTGATCCTTGCTTAAGCTCTCTGGGGAGGAAATAGGCATGGGGTCGGTAGTCACCCTCTGTGCTCATCCCTTAAACTGTTGGGAGATAAAAGTCACAGGGCAGAGAACAGAGGACCCCTTGCCCACCATCAGGGCTGTGGTCAAGAGAGTTGAGAGACTCATGAGTGAAGAATGTTGTGTCCCAGGTAAGGGGCACTCTGACTTTTGACAGAAATACTGCTTGTTAGCATCATCCTGACCTGCTAGGGAGGCTCTCGGAACCATATGGTTCTTTGAGGGCTTGGAGGTGGGGACAGAGTGGAAATGTGGCATGCAGGAGATCAGAGCCTAAGAGAGGAACATGGACTTAGGCACAGAGGCTGTGGTCAGGAAAGCAAAGACACCCAGAGGCAGTGAGAGAAGCTGAGCCGTTTAATCACCTCCTTGGCCAGAATCAAGGCTGTGGCTGCCCCTGAACAACCCACACCTGGAAGCCACTGAGAGCAACTGAAGATAAAATGGCCACTTGAGTCAGAGGGTGAGGCAGGATGGGAAGGGACAGCTGCAGCGCCTCCGACTCCATCATCTGGCGCTCCTGCCCCTGGGGCCTGCTTCAGCTCTGAGAGGTTCCTGGCTGGTCCCCAGGGGCAAGGAACCAGTGGTGGACAGTGCGCCCTAGTTGTGGTAAGAGAACGACCCTGAGGTGGGGCAGCCGCGTCCCACATGGCCTATGTCCGGGATGCAGTGCTATCCGCACTGTGCTGGGGGGATGGGACCATAAGTCTGGGGAAGAGGGGAGAAGGGGATGGGAGGAGTGGGATTGGGGGTTGCCCGAGTCCCACCACCAGTCTGGAATTAAATAGAAGAGAAGGTTGTTCTTGGGAACATTGGCTTGTCCCCAGTGACAGTTCCTGGTGATGGGCTGACCTTGGCAACAGACCCTAGCAGCAGGCAGTTGTCCTGACAAAAGGGTGGTCCCTGTCAACAGTCCCTGGCAGTTTCCTGAACAGAGGGAGGGAGCTGACCTGGGAGTCTTGTCCCCCTATCTACTTGTTCTTCTTGAAGAAGCTGAAACGTTTTTCTCGCTCCCGTTCTCTGCCGTCCTTGCTGCGCAGCACGACAGGCCCCTCAGCCCCTGCTGGTGACACTGGGGGCATGGTCATGGCCCGAGTCATGCCACGAGTGGCACTGGGCACTGCTGGCTCTTCTGGCTCTCCGGAGGCCGAGGATGCAGCAGTAATGGCCGCATTCACCACCCGCAGCCACGAGCTCATCTCTGCCTATGGTGACAGGGAGACAACATCTCAGCCTCAAGGACCCTATGTGGGGGCTGTTGGTGGCAGACAGCAGAGAAATGTGAAAGGAAAAGGCAAAAAAGTAACTATTTCATCTTGGAGATCATGTTTTGGTGTGGGCCTCCTAGACAACCAGTGGGCATGTCATGGGCTAGGTTATTATAAAGAACAAGAGAGGTGGACAAGGAAAAAGAGAGGGGAGGGAAGGAAGGAAATCTGCTACTGCAGGATTTTTTCCTCCAGGAACATGTGGGTGGGAGGGGAAATCTTACCTCATCCTTGGCCTGGAACAAATATTCTTTTCCATCCTGTAAGCTGTTGAGAGAGAAAAGTCACAGAGCAGAGATGAGAATCTGTATGTGCCAGGTCAGTGCATGTTAGAGTTCAGTCATCACCCAAGAGGAACTGGAGAACATCCAGGCAGCCCCCAGAGCCGTATCTACAGGTATTGCACATTTTCAGATTCCCAGATTTTTGCAGATGTGCAAAACCAAATCCTTTCTGAATGCCTGCAGAGGGCCAGGGTGAGCTCGCTTCCATCCTAGGCCTTGCCAGCTGCTTGCTGCCAGGCAGAGCCATGCCTCTGAAGGTCCCTGAGGCAGAGCAGTGCCGGCATGCTGCCTTGGGGTTTCTCACCAGGATGGCTTTTTAACTTGACATCATCAGTCATCAGCCTGTGTCTTAACCCCCCCCATTACCCACCTATCCCCCACCCCACCCACCCCCTCCTTAGTGTGCGGTACAATCCCTGCCTCTCCCTCATGCACAGGTGTCCCCAAAGTCCTGGCTTGGCAGCTCTATTCCTGTACTTCTTAACAGGTGACCGCTCCCACTGGGCCCACCTGTGTCACTCCTGACTCCTCCTCCCATCCTGAGAGCACAGTGCAGTTCCTACCCCAGCTTGAAGACATGTTTGCGCTTTCGATAATCGAAGGCCACACTGCCCTGGGCCCTGGCCAGGCTGACAGGCACTTCTCCATGGTATGGCACTCCTGCACTGGCTGCTTTCGAATCCTTGTAAAAGCCAAGGCTCCCACGCCGCAGGACACAGTACACGTTCTGCCAGGATCTGGGTGGGACATTGTGCCAGTCAGAAGGCCAGATGGTCAAATGGACTGGCGTGGGTGGGACCTACATTCTGGGGTCCCCTTGGATGTCCTGGAACTTGAAGTTCCTCTCCTGTCTTTACCCCCTCAGGCTGTTCCCTAAGGGCCATAGTGGTCCTGAGCCCCATCCCTTTTCCAAAGGTCACAGTCCTATGAAGTGCCCCATTCTGAATAACTTTCCTGCCTCCAGAAACATCCCCTCCAGGACGCCTCCCCAGATGCAGGAACCTGAGAGGCCACAGGCACTGCACGGCCAGGCTGTGTACCTGTTGGCAGCCTTTTTGCCAAAGGCCTCCATCTCCTGTTTGCGGCAGAGCATTCCCTCCATCTGCTCCTGGGCAGAGAGCTCTGGGCCTCGAGTGGGCAAGGTGGCAACATGGGCTGACTCAGACGATCTGCTCTGGGGCATCACAGGAGCAGCTGGGCCGCGGGGCCGTGTCTGCCTGTCTCCCCGTGGCCCATTGGCCTCATCCCCTGCACCAGATCCCTGCGGGGGAAAACAGGATGAGATGGAAGGTGTCTCCTCAGTGGGTTGTGAAACTCCCTGGCTGCCTCAAATTTCCTTGAGTCTCTGCCCTCTCCCATCCTCAGACTCCTTGCCCCCCTTTTTAGCCCTTCATCTCAGGTATCTATACCCACACCTGCAGGGGGACTCACAGGCCCTTCTGGGAGGCTACCCTGCTCAGGTCTCTGTTGTTCCAACAGGAGCTGCAAGGACAAGAAGCTGTGAGAGGGTGTGTGAGGTAGGCAGGGTTGATGGGGACGCTTGGGGACAGGGTTACCTGTGAGGACTCAGCATCTGTGCAGACCCCATTAACGCTGGGCACCTGTGTGGATGGTGGCAGGCGTGGATGGGTTCTGGAACAGCCAAAGATGACACAGAATTAGTTCCTAGCTTGCTTGGGCTTAGCCTCATCCTGCTGGCCCAGGTGTCCTGGCTCTCACCCGTCCCAGGCAGCATCAGGAGCTGTCTGGCTGTCCACCACGTCTCCTTTGGGCAAACAGGCTGTGGGCTCCGGAGCAGGGGGCTGTTTCCTCCGTTCCTCCTCCTCCCTCTGTCTCTTCCTCTCCCTCTCCCGCTCTTCCAGCTGTCAAGAAATGCTGAGGTCAGTGTGAAGAAGGCTCATTTAAGAGGAGCAGGGCACAAGGGAAGTTGAAATGTCTTAGCTCTGGTCTGAAACTGGAAGGAGGGAGAAGAGAAATCTGACAAGAAGGTGGGGACAAGGAGCAACAGGGGAGATGGGGGTCTTAGCATCCTCTGGGGGAAATGAAGGCTGTGGTGTCATGGGGCACTCTCAGCTCACGCGCAGGAGGTGCTGATCAGAGGGAAGAGAAGAACTGTCTTCTCAGGCAGAGAGAGGATGGGTCTGGGCCAGGGAGTAGGCGCCCAGGGGCCCAGAGCCCTCACCGCAGTGAGCTTCTCCAGTGCGCTGAAACGCTCTTCCCAAGCCACCGCTGCCTTCTGAAAGGCTTCATGCCGCTTGATGAGGCTCTCCACTTCATCCACCGTGCAGCCCAGCTCTGCGCTCCGCACCAGTGGCTCTTGACTGCACAGCCAGGCCTCTGCCATCCCTGCATCTCTCCCGAACATGAGCACCTCCAAAACTGCCAGGATTAGGGGTTGCAGAGAGTTGGCTGGTCAGAGAGGGCACAGAGAAAGCCACTGCCCCAGAGCACTGCCAGATGTTGCCAAGGGTGGGTGCCTGGAGTTTCACACCCAGGGTTCTTGATCTCTCCCATCCCCCTGTCCTGGCCTGGTTCTCCGCAGAGGCTCACCAAGCTGGAGCCAGTCCATCTTTTCCTGCCACTTGTCAGCTGTCTCCTGGCGCCGGGCTTGCAGCTGAGACAGCTTCTCTGAGATCTGGGGGACAGAGACGAGAGTCAGCACCCAGTAGGGCCTTTCCAGAGTCCTCAGGGGTTCACTGAGGGAAACTAGTGATTTCTGATGTCAAGAGGTTGGTAGATCTAGAGGAAGGATGGGATGTGAGAACTCTCTGAACAGCACCAAGGGGACAGAGAGTGAAAGAGTTCTTGCAGAAAAAGAATAAGAGGAAGTAGGAAGACTCCGAAAAAATCAGCACTGAGCTCTGCTCGGTGAGGCTGGCCCACCCCCACCAGGCCTCACCCACCTCCTCGGCTGCGTAGTGGCTCCTGGCCAGCAGCTCCTGCCCCATGTCGATGCAGGAGGAGAAACGGTCTGCTCTGGCCTCAATCTCTGCTTTGATGCCTTGTTGGTTCTTGATGACCAGGTCTGCAGAGGACACGTCCCTGGGAGGATACAGACACAGTATCTTCTCCTACTGCTCCCAGTCCCATCACAGCCACCAGCCCACAGGAGCCATAGAGGCTACTGGGTATCTCACCGGGGCCGCTCCTGGGCATCCATCTGCACATTAATGCCGTCCATCCACAGCATCAGCTCCCTGACAGCCTTGAAGAAACGGAACTTGTCTGTGGTGTCCAGCAGCAGCTGGCGGCGTGCAGCAGAGCTTCCCTGAAGCTGGGCCCAGGCCTCGGCTACAGCCTGCATATGGCGGCCAATCTCCTCAGCCTTATCTCCAGCATAGGCCTTCTGGAGTCGCTGGCCATCATCCTGCACCTGCTGGACCTGTAGGGTCCCAACTGAGAGTCAGGCAGAGCAGAGAGACTTGAAGGAGCTGCAGCCTCCCTTGGACCTAGCTGCTACCTCCTGCCCATTTCACTAGCCAAAGGAAGGGGAGGAATGGGGTAGGGGTGGGGCGAGAAAGATGAAGGCAGATGCCTGGCCGAATGCTGCTCTGGTGCATCTCATTTAAGGGCCTGGGCTTAGCCCAGGAGGTGGGGCTCTAAAGGGGGCCACTGGCCAGTAGAGCTTTCGAAGGCCTGTTCTGGATGTGAGGGACCTCATAGGTAGCTAGGATGAGCCTGCAGAAGGGATTTGGTGGGGCTGACTGGCTGTATAATAGATGAAGGAAGAATTCATGCTTATTTCACTGGATCTAGAGCTGTAGTCTGGGTGGTACCAACAGGCAGCAAGAATAGTCCAGCCATCAAGACCACCTAAAAATGTCATGGCCCTCATGGAGGCTTGTGAAGAAGTCAGTGAATATGGTGGCTAGATGTTGCTTGGCTGGGATGTTTTCCTGGAATGATTCTAACTTCATCTGTGAATGGCCCTCCAGAGGGGCCATCCTCCTGCATTTCTTGAGATCCATCCCAGCAACTAGGACACCCCCTTGCTCCCATCTCCTACAGTCTCCCCTCAGCCTTCCCCACCTCCTCGGCTTGGCTCAGACCTGGGCGCTGAGGGCCTGGATGTCGTGCTCATAGGCACAGTGTCGGCGCTGCAGGGCCTCAGCAGCATTGAGGTCACGGCCGGTCCCATCTGGAAGCTGCTGCTGCTTGTGCTGCACCCGTGCCAGGGCTTGGCGGGCCCCGTGCAGGAAGCGCTGCAGCTCGTAGGCAGCGGCCAGCACTTGACCCCGTGTGTCCAGCAGCTCGAGCAGGTCAGCCCAGGCCTCATTGAGACTGTCCTTCCACTCAGCTACGGTGGCCCGTGCGGCATGGCCCCCCGCAATGAGCCCATTGGCCAGTGTGTTGGCGCTATCCACACGCTCCTGACCGATGGTGCTTGTGTCCCGAGAGAACTCGCGGAATTTGTCCCGGAGCATCTGATGGAGGAAGCAGTTGAAGGGACAAGGTGTGACACTGAGGGAAGAGGTTCCTGACTGATGGAGTGGGTCCTCTTCCCCCAAACTGGGGACCCACTTCTCTTCCCTGTGTCAGGTGTGCCAGCTCGAGTCAACAAGCAGTTGCAGCAGCTTCCCACCCACCTGTTCAGTGTGTGCCACTCAACAAGGACACATCCTGACAAATGCACCACACAAACTAAGAGGGCTAAGATGATGCAGTCTGTCATGTGGCACAAGATGGCACAGGCCTGATTGGTAATTAACTTCCTTTCTATCCTTGCCCACACTTGGCCCCATGTTCCTCTTTCCGCACAATTCTTCCAATTATAAACCTTAAAATCCAGGAGATGGCAGCTGCTCTGCCTGGCCCTGTGTCCCTGCCCCTCCATGCTCTGCCCAGGTCCAGGCCCGTCTCCCCTGGGTCCTGGTCCCTTCTTGGCATCCTCCCCACACTCACAGTCACATGTTCGTAGTCCTGGCCCAGCTCGTGGGAGGCCGCCACCACCTCACGCTCCTGGATCCACTGCTCCAGGTCATCCAACTCACGACGGAGTTGGCACAGCCGGAGGTGCTCCTGCAGGCGCTCGCGCCGCTCTCCAGCCAGTTCTTTCAGGCTGGCATACAGCTTGTCCACCTGGGCCTGGCGGATTGATATCCTCGTGCTGGAGGGAATGACGAAGGCACCTCAGGGTTTAGGAGACATGGCTGCTCTGATGCCCGGCTTGTTCTGAGCCCTGTCCCTCTAGGCCCCCAACTGCTCATCAAGTCCAGGCTTCTCCAGCTTTCTAGAATGTTCTGTACATGCACAGTACAGAGGCACCACACTCCAGCACCTTCAGAAAACCAGTTCCCTCTCCTCCAGGGGATGGGCCCCTTTACCTCCTAGGGGCTCACCTCTCTGGGTGGTCATGGTCAATCATGTCTTGGCTGCTGGCTGCCAGCTGGTGGATGGTCTGGGCGTAGTCAGCCAGGGCTTGTTCCAACACCTGGTGTTTCTTCACCTCTGCCTGGGCACTCAGCTCATCCTGGAGAAGGGACAGTGGGCCTCAGGCAGTAGGGGGCGGGTGGGGAGGCTGGCAGTGAAAAGAATCAGCCAAGCCGACTCAGCCCCGGCTCTCACCTTGGCTTTCTCCTGGCCCAGCAGGTGCAGCTCCTGCTCACCCATCCAGGCCTCGGCCTCTGCAGCATCGCGGTAGAACTGCTGGGCCCTCAGGGCCTCCTCCAATCGCTTCCCCCGAAGCTCCAGTTCGTGGCTCAGGCGTTTCCACATTTCTTGGAGCTGGGCCAGCTCGGGGCCTGCTGCTGCTGTGCCCAGAGTCCGCTGCCGCTCTGTGAGGTCAGCAATCCGGGGCTCGTGGCCTTGGATCTCTTTCTGCAGGGTCTGTCCCCGTCATAGAAGAGGACACTATAAGGCTTGCAAAGGGAACGTGGAGCCTCCACACCCTCCGACCTGTACAACTTCAAGCACCCCCTTCACCCTCTTCCCTCTCTTCCTTCCAGAGCCCTCTCATTTCCCTCTCCCCAGGACAGGATGGTGACGATGTCCCTTCAATCCTCCAAGAGAACCTACCCTTGGGGAAAAACAAACCACTGACATCTGGGGAGACACAGTGTCAGGGAGGGGCCAGAGAAACCCCTTCTTAGAGAAACAAATGTCCAAGTGTGGGGAGACTCTTGGGAACTTTTCTTTTGCCCTCAGCCTCTGCCTCACCTGGTTTTTCTTCATGAGAAGCTGAACACTAGGCAGGTCCTTGCCATGTTCCATGGAGCTGGCCATGGGCAGCCGCTCTGTCACCCATAACTGGATGAGAAAGAGGACGTCAGTGGAGGTGCAGAGGGAAGAGTCAGCATGGGGGACAGGAGAGTGGGGATACCTACAGTTACAGGTGTGAGTGTGAGAGTGTGTGTGTGTGTGTGTGTGTGTGTGTGTGTGTGTGTGTGTGTAGGGAATGGTCATCTCTGGCTTCAGGACAAAGGGATCTAGAGGACATCCCCAAGTATCTTTAGAGGGGATGTTCTCAGTGCTGAAGGGAAGAGGGAACAGAGCACTGCTGGCATCTCCCCAGAAGCCAGGAAGGAGGCTGGAGTGCCACATGGCAGGGGCAGCTTGCCAAGATGAAGATGCTCTCAGGCCCAGCCCCAGGGACTCACAATCTCATCCTCCACATCCCGGTGGAACTGGTGCTGCTCACGAGAGGCATGCAGGCGCTGGCAGCGCTCCTTCATGGGCTCGCACAGGGCCCTGAACTTCTCTTCCACAGCTCTTGAGGTCCTCTCCACCTCCCCTGCACCCTGGTCTTCCTGGGCCAGTGCCTTTGCTTGGGCCTGGATTGCCTCCACCTCCTTCTCTCTCACAGCCATCTCCCGTTCCAGCATCTGCAAATGAGGAGGAGGAAGGGAATGTAAATGCCACATTTCCACCTTCAAACTCAGAGGAGACACTAGTCTCCAATTACGATTTCTCATCCCCAGGTCTTACTCCAGGAAGTCCATCCTTTTGTGGCCTAGATTGATCTTGAACTTTGATATATGGAGGAATCCAGGTTGTGTGATAACTGTGTCTGTTATGAATTGTCAGGTGGAATCGTCTGTCCCAAATCCACTTCAGTTGTAAATCCACATTTTCCCTGCTGTGTTATGTTGGAACTGGATGGACCCAGTCAACATCTCTCCTATGCCAGGTGGTGCAATACCAGGCCTTGTCAGTAGAGGCCGCTGGAGGGATGCTACAACTCAGTACAGGAAGGGCCTCTCTTCCAGGTTACTTCTGTCTCCTACAGCAAAACTGCTTACAGTGTGCAAGAGATCCTGTGACTCTGTTCCTCCAGCAAGTTTTGCTGGCACTCCCAGGGTAGTTCCCTGCTGGCCAGCCTGGGCTTGCTAGATGCAGACCTGCTTTGGCCCATGACACCCCAGCAAATTTCTAGTCTATTCACTTTGGCTCTCCAAAGAGATCTGAAATTCAGCTGTGTGGTTGAACCCAGAGGCACTCAACCACTGAGATACTTTACCTTTTTTTTAGTTTTTATTTTGAGACAGGGTCTTGCTGAGTTTCCCAAGGCTGGTCTCAAACTTTATATCTTCCAGCCTTGTCTCCCAAATATCTGGGTTTATGGGTCTGTGACACCACACCTAGCTATTCTAGGATTCTTAAGAACAGGGATCAGCAAATACAGCCTACTACCTATTTTGTAAATAAAGTTTTATTGTAATACAGTCTGAGCCTTTATTTATTTATTTATTTTTGGTCCTACAAGGTCAGAATTTAATAGTGTGACAGAAACAATCTGATTCACAAAGTCAAAATATTTATTATTTGGCCTTTTACAAAAAAAGTTTTCTGACCCCTGCTGTACAGTCCTCTTTACACCTGTAGGTTTAGATGTGGTTTATGCCCTCCAAAACGCATGTTGAAATTTGATCCCCAGTTTTAATAGTATTGAGAGGTAGAGGCACTTATAAGAGGTCATTAAGGTGCACTCACACAGTTCTTGTGGGGCTAAATTAGTTACCACAAGAGCAGGTTGTTATAAAGTAAGGCTGTCCCTTGTGTTTTGTCTCTTTCACATGAAATCACTTCCTTTCTGTTCTGCCATCAATAATGCAGCTTGAGGCCCTCACCAGAAGCTGAACAGATGCTGGCGCCATGCTCTTGACTTCTAGAACCATGTGCCAAGATAAACTTCTATGTTTTATAAATTACCCAACCTCAGGTATCCTGTTATAGAAACAGAAAGTAGACTAAGAAACATCTTCAGTAGTTAGCCACCTTTTGCCAGGCGCATTGACACACGCCTGTAATCACAATGGCTTGGGAGGCTGAGGCAGGAGGATCTTGAATTCAAAGCCAGCTTCAGCAACTCAGCAAGGCCCTAAGCAACTCAGTGAGACCCTATCTCTAAATAAAATACAAAAAAGGGCTGGGGATGTGGCTCAATGGGTAAGTGCCCCTGAGTTCAATCCCTGGTACCAAAAAAAAAAAAAAAAATGTTATCCACCTTTTACTAAGAAATACGTCTTTTTACAAAAGTTTCCCTGTTCAGTCTGTCTCCTGACTTTCCTCTGACCATTAACTCGCTCCTGGAGATTCTGACATGGTTGGCCTGAAGAAATCACTCTGAGAGCTGGGCGCAGTGGCACATGCCTATAATCCCAGCAGCTTGAGAAATACCAAAAGATATCATGCAGCAGGCCTTAGAATGATCTCCCAATCTCAAGATCCAAAGACACTTCCTCCTTTCTTCTCCAGTTCACCCTCCCCCCTTGAAGGCCCACAGCACACCTGCTGCTTCTTGAGCAAAATGTTGACGCTGGTCAGATCCTTGCCATAGTCATCGGAGTGCAGCTGGGCCTGCAGGCTCTCTAGCCAGCTCTCCAGCGCCGAGCAGCTTTGGGCAAACAGTTCAGCACGGTTGGCATCAAAGAGGCTGCGGGCCTTGGCCTGGGTGGTGGTCTCCAGCTCATCCCAGCGCCTGTGCAGGTCCCCCAGCTTTTCTGACACCAGCGCTTTCAGTTCTGGCTTCTCAAGGGTCAGCTCTCGCCCTTCCTAGGTGGCAAGACAAAGAAGGTGTAAGTGCCAGAATTAGAATTAGACACCACTGGGTGGCTCTGAGGTAGAGCACTTGCCTAGCATGTGTGAGGCCCTGGGTTCGACCCTCAGCACCACATAAAAATAAAATATTGTGTCCACCTCTTACTAAAAAATAAATGTTAAAAAAAAAAAGAATTAGACATCACTGAATGTTATAGGCCAATGGCAGACCAGGTACCTGAAGTATGGACGATCATTCTAGGTCCTCACGTAAGCTCATTAGCATAGGCTTCTAGAGGCCCCTTCTTCACTGCACAGTCCTCGCTTCTGGTTAAACCGGCTCCTCCTCCCAGTTCTGCTCAAACCTCACTTCAGTTAAGAAGCCATTGTAATCTTTCCTGGTGCTCATGGCTTCTGCTGCTATGCTGCACATGAACTTGGGTTATTTGCTCTCATTCCATGTTTCTCCACTTGTTACTCCTCACTTGAACTGGAGCGAGCAAGTCCTACCTGGTCTCCCCACTCCCTGCCTTTTGGTTGAGGACTTCCTCTCCTTCCTTCCCTTCTTCCTTCTTTCCTTTCCTCCCTTCCCTTCCTTTCCTCCTCCTCACCCTCTCTTTCATACCTGGGTTTGAACTTCAAGCATGCTAAGCACGTACTCTACCCCTGGGCTATACCCCGACCCAAAGTACCCTGTCCAGAAGGTTGACCTTCCATTGCTTCTCCTCATTCCCCTACCAGTGCTTCCTGGGACCACCTGCCCTGAAAGTGTCCTGCACTAGAATCCTGATTTCAAGGTTGGCTTCTGGGAACACAAGGCAGACACTCCCTTCAGGCCTCTAACACTGTCAAGGAGAAGGTGTCAAAGGCTAGCACTGCTTGGGTAGCTCTGGGTCACACTCCACATCCAGGAACCGGGGCTTTTCCTGACCTGGCCAAACGTGCTCTTCTCGCCTTTGCTTCCACCAGCCCCTTCACACATTCTGCACTCCTGCCCCATTTCCTCCTTGTCCACAAAGGTGCCCCTTCTACACCTCTGGTTTTCTGTTCACACTCTTTTCTCTACCTAACAACATCTTTCCTTCAATGTCTTGGCTTGTCCTCATTCGCTCATCCTTCACAGACTGTCCTGGCTTGCTCCTGCTTCCAGAATCCCCAAATCTCCTCTTTCTTTAGCCCCCAGACTTTACTGGACTCTCATATGGCACTCAACAAAATCTGCTCTGGATTTGATTCAGCTGTTTGAATATACATCTCTATATCCTGGCCACAGTATTGTTCCTTGAGGGTGGAGCCTGCAGTGGCATCTTGTACAGCAGCAGCAAGCACATATTTGCTGAACAAATGGAAACACTGAAAACACCCTGGTTTCCTCTCCCCAGCCATCATGCCCTTGTGGGAGGGAAGGTGTCTTTTTATATTCCAGGCAGCATAGCAGTGTGCTGAGCACACACAATGGTCCCCAAGAATATTTGCTGAGTAGAAATAAAGTTATTCTAGAAGAGCTGGGTGGGAGACCAAGTATCAGGAACAGCAATCCTCAAAAGCAAGGACTGGCGAACCATGGTGGGTGGGCCAAGTCTGGCCACTGCCTATTTATATAAAGTTTTATTGGGAGACAGCCATGCTCATTCATTCATGTATTCTCTATGACTGCTTTTGCACCACAATGGCACAGACAAGTAGTTGCAGCAAAACCATATGGCCCACAAAGCCTGACATATTCACTTTCTGGTCCTTCACAGAGTGTCTGCAGAGTACTGATGAAGACAGCCATCTGCTCTGGACCCAGGAACAGTTATGGCTTTAAGCCAAGGCTATAGCCTGGTACCCTACTAAGCTGGGCTTTCTCAAAGCTCTGAAATCACTGTCTCCCACAGCCCAAAGACATTTTATTTCCTAGAACACAACTTGCCACTTCAGTAGTGTGACTCCAGAAACCCATGAACTCTAATTCTGAAAACCATGGCCTGGAGCTAGGCCTGCAGCCTGGACTGTGGCCTGCACCGCTGAAAGGACACTGCCTGAGGCGGCCCCAGATGCTCACTTCTTGCTGCTCCTGTCACGCCACTCACCTTGTCCACCTTGTCCAGCCAGTCCTTGTTGGCGGCTAGCTCGGCCATGAATGCCTGGTGCTTCTGCCACTTGGTGTGCAAGTTGCGGGCCTCATCATAGGACACATCCTGAGCTGTCAGCATCTTCTCGTCAATCCAGAGTTTCAGCTGGAGCAAGCACAGGCCAGGATGGAGAAGGTAGGGGGCATTTTGGAGGGGGGGAGAGAAAGGGACGAGGGGACCAGGAGATGTGAAAGACTCAGGAAGAGGCCATGAAAGTGTTTGCAGGCTCCAGCAACCCTGCGATGCTCTTACACCAGGCTCAGGGAAAGGGGTGGATGGCTAGAGGTGCTGCGGGGACCTGGGTGCCTCACCTCATGACAGTCTTGCAAGAAGTGCTGCTGCTCTCGGTTGTCCCTCAGGCGGCCCAGAAGCTGCTGCACGGCTTCTTGATTCTTCCTGTGTCTGTAATGACAGTGCTTGTGAACCCTAGGCCTTGCTGTGAGAGGATGTGGCCTTTAAGTAACCTAGAGGCTTCAGTCCTCTTCCTGTATGGATAAGCCTCCCAGAAACCCCACCAGACACCCCAGGCAGGTATCACGTTTCCAGGCCTGCCACCTAGTAGGCTCTATTTTGCCCAAGTGTGCAGGAGGCAGACCATCCCAGCTCCTGATCCAGTCCCTCTCCCACCACCCTGTTCTCCCCCTCTATTACTTTGCTGTCAGCCCCCTATCTCCTGCCACCTGTCAGGTCTCCCATGCCACGTCTCCATCTCTGAGACCGCTCTGTTCCACTGATTTCTCTCTCAGACCCCTCATTTACCCGCCGGCCTCATCCCACCTGCTCTCGATGGAGTCTGCCTTCTCCTGGATCTTCTCGGCGTGGATGTTGCCCTCTGACACCAGCTGACGCCCAGCCTCCAGGAGCCCACGGATGCGTTCCCCATTGGCATCCATGGTGCTCATGAAGTCTTCCAGCTTTTTAATGGCAGCATCAGCAGCCTGGAGTGTCCCTGGCATCTCCGTGTGAGATAGAACATACTCCTGTGTGGGAGCAGGGAGCAGGGAGCAAGCTCACTTCTCAAAGCATACAGATTCCATCCCTCAGACCCAGCCAGGGACACAGATGAAAGGGTGGCCAGCCTCAGCAAGGGTGGAGTAGCCAGATGGCTCTGAAGATGAAGGGGGGTATCACTAACTTGGGGGACCCGAGAAAGTTCCAAGGGAGCTGAGCTGGGGCCCAAATCCTGTTCGACCTTACTTGTAGCAACTGATTTGATTTTAAAATAGTCACATGACTTGCCACGCTTTCTGTGTCATCTAAAGTCAGCTTTGGTAAGTTTTGTTTATCATTTTTTTCCCACTCCTTCCTGCCTGTGTTATTTCCTCAACTACTCCACCCGCTGACACTATCCTCTTCCTCACACATCCCCTGGTCCCTATTTTCCTATTCTTCCTGGGTGGGACCTTGTCCCCTGGCCTCTCACCTGGCTGCTGAGCACGCCCTCAGCCTGGCGAGCATCCCGTAGGAATCCCTGGAAGCCATGAGCCTGGGCCAGGCGGCCTTGCCGGCTCTCCCACATGCGGCCCAGCTCCTCCCAGCCGGTTCCCAGGGCTTCCAGCCGCTGCCGTAGGAAGAGGCACTGGGGATCTGCCTGGTCGCGGGTCACCTCCTCGCCCAAGGCCCGCAGGCGGCTATACTCGCTTTGGGCACGCTCCACTTCTCCCCGTAGGCCTGCGTGTTGGGCCAAGAGGGCCTCAGCCTCAGGCAGGGTAGCCGGCCCTTCTTCGGAGGCCACAGCGGTCTGCGTGCGACCTAGCCAAGCTTGGAAGTCATCCAAGCTGCGCAGGAAGTCCTGCAGCCTCCGTGCCTCACCCAAGGACTCCTCTCTTCGCCGCATAGTGGCTCGCAGGTCCTCCCAGCCGGCCTGTACCTCCCCAAGCCGGGTGTTGATGGCAGGGGCTTGGGCCGGATGGCCAGCAGCCAAGGCATTGGCCTCTCGGGTCAGTTCACCCACCCGAGCGGCGATGGCCTCCAGGTCTCGCTCAGTGCCAGCCAGCTTCCGCTGCAGGGCCAGTACCCCGGCCAGATCATTACCCAGGCCCTGGGTGGACTCGATAACCTTGGTCTTCTCTCTCATCCAGGCCTGGGTCTCCGTGCACTCTAGGTGGTAGTTCTGGATGCTCAGGGCTGATGTCAGAGCTGCCTTCTTGCCATCTGCCAGGGACCGAAACTGCTGCCACCTGAGTAGGGGGAGGGAGTAGCATGTAGAGCTGCTCAACTTCCCTGGCTGGCCAGGTACATCTGGGGTACCCCTGCTTCTCCCCACATGGTGCACACCCACCCACTTCTGCCTTTGTAAGAAGGTTGCTCCCCATCATTCCCTTGCCTCCTTCTCTTTTTGATTGTTCCCCATCCAATCCTCAGCCTCCTGGGACCACTTTGATCCCATTTCATCCTTTTTTCTATTTATCCTCCCCAACACATTCCAGGCTTGTCCTTCCCCTTGTGTTTAGCCCCCTCCCAGGCCCTGCCAAACCCTCTTTGAAGCACCATCTCCAGCTGCTTCCTTCTCCCTCAGTGTCCAGGGCTGACATCCCCAGCCCACCTGTTGTTGAGCTGCTTCTGAGTGTTGAGAATCCGGTCCTTCCCTGGAGGGTTGGCCTTTAGCAACTGCTCAGCTATGTCATTCACAGCAGTAATTCGCACTGCCAGGGCATTCATTTCCGGCTCTAGGGTCTCAAACCTGAGTGGGTAAACAAGCAGAGCATGAGGATGGGAGGCAGAGAGGCCCCAGGCCACCTCCCTTAGATGCCTGCAGAACTGCCTCCCTTCAACACAGGGCTCTGTCCCTGCGATGCTTTGCCTACAAGGTTCTCAGGGGAGAAACTCTCCTCTCTGGGGTTGTTCAAAAAGATGGTGAGGGATAGACCTTTAACAGAGGTTCACTTACTCTCTTAGGGCTCACCCTTTAGCCCCCAACCCAAGCCCCACCCCACCAATAAAAAATGAAATGACAACCAAAAGCATGTGTCTAAGTGACAAAGACGTGAACTATTAACTTCTCTCAGGGATATTTTATAGTGGGGCAGGTCTGCAGGATTATTCTGTAAAGGGCCAGGCAGTAACATTTTAGGTCTGAGAGTCACTGTGTCTGTCCCAGCTCCTCAGCTCTGGGGAAGTAGTGATAAGGGTCACTACAGACAGGATCACTCTTGTCTGTGGGCATGGCTCTGCCCAGCAAAGCTTTACCAAAAAAAACGGGGAGCAGGCTGGGTTTGGCCTAAGGGTTGTAGTTTATCAAAACCTCTAATAGGATATCTTGAAAACTTAAAAAAAAAAAAAAGTTTAATTATATTTTTTTAAACCATCAGGAAATTTGATTATGGACTAATGGTAGGTGATATCAAGTAATTGCTCATTTTGTTCTAAGTAATAATGGTACTGAGGTTCTATAAGAAAATTCTCTTCAAAATGATTTTAAGATATTATTCTGTGAACATCATGAGAGGTTCTGCCTAAACGAGTCAATAATATTATTATATTATAATATATATTATAATTCCATATTTAATTTAAAAAAATATATTTTTATGTAAGGGTTCTCTCTCCTTTTTATTTTTTATCCCCCCAGCATTAGAGATTGAACCCAGGAGTGCTCTACCACTGAGCTACATCCTCAACCCTTTTTATTTTTTTTTTATTTTGAGACAGGTTTTCCCTAAGTTGCTGAGGCTGGTTTTGAACTTGTAACCCTACTGACTCAGCCTCCTGAGTTGCTGGGATTAAAGGTGTGTGCTTCTAAGCCTGGCTTTTCCTCCTCTTTCTTAAAGGATGTGTCCTGAAGACTACATGTGAAATAACCGGGAATAATTTTTTAAAAAAGGGAGTGAATCAAAATGAGCACCATATTGACATCGTTGGACCCTGGGAATGGGTGGAAGGGTTTTGTTGTGAAATGTTGTCTACTTTTGTTATGTTTAACATTATCATTAAAACTTAGAAAAGACAACCATTAAGACAGAAGGATGTGATTAAGGCTCGGTGAGGTGCAGCGGGCAGCTTTATGGTGGGAGTGGCCACCTCTCACCCTGGCCCCAGCTCACAGGCAAGGGGGTCCGAGGCAGCTGCAGGCCCTACCTCTGCTGTACCACCTCGAGGTCCTCCAGGCGCTCAGGCAGGGTCAGCCCGTTGAGCCACTGCTCCTTCTCCTCCACCCAGAGCCCACAGGCCCCAGCCTCGCTGAGCATGGTGTAGAGTGCCAGGGCTGCTTCCAGGGCCTGAGCACGCTCGCCCGCCCGTGCCTGCAGCTCCTCGTACTGCCGCTCCAGTGTAGGCACCCTGCCCTGCACCTCGGGCGTGTGGCTCAGTGCGGGAGGCAGGGCCACAGCCTGTTCCTTCAAGGCCTCCAGGGTGGGTCGGTGGCCTCGGATCTCCTCCTCCAGGGCTCGGTGCTGCCTGGCCAGGGCCTGTGTGGAGAACTCGTCGTGCCCCAGCTCAGGGCTGGACACTAGGCGCAGGGCATCCACCAACCAGGCCTCCATGTCGTTTGCGTCGGCTTGGAACTGGTAGAGGCTGGCAGCCTGAGCAAGCTGCTGGGCCCGTTCCTCGGCCAGGGCCTCCAGCCGCTCCCACTGTGCCTGGAGCTCGGCTGCACGGGCAGCAGCCTGGCTGGCTCCAGGATGGCCCTCTGCAACCAACTGCTGGCCCTGTTCCAGGGTGAGCTTCAGGGGCCCCAGCCGGCCACTCATCTCACCCCGCAAAGCCGTGTGCTTGTTGAGCAGGCGGAGGACACCGGTCAGGTCCCTGCCAGTGTCAGCTGAGGCCAGGAGGTGCTGCTGCTCCCGCACCCAGGCCTCAGCCTCTCCCACTTCCCAGAGGAACCGCCAGAGGCGCCGTGATTCCTCCAGACGAGCCCTGCGAGCCGCTGCCAACTCACACAGGGCCTCATAGCTCCGCTCCAGGGTAGCCACCCGCTCTGACACCAGCTGCGGGTCACATGGTCTGTACTCTGAAAATAGTCATGTGGGGTTCCAGAGCTCTGGATCCTCTGCACCCACCTTGGTGACAAATCCCCGACCCCCTCCCTGGCTCCAGCTCCTCACCCAGCATCCACCATCAGCTCTCCTGTCCCCAGCTTTTCCTAGTCTTCTGCCTCTGCTCTTAATGTTGCCCTTCCCAGCCCTGTCATCTCCAGGACCTTCCCCTCTGGTTCTCACCTTTCCCTGGGTCGCAGAAGCGCAGGGCAGAGGCGCTCACAGCCCGCACCCTCTCAGCCTGCACGGCGATGTCGGCCTCCACCAGCTCGTGCAGCTGCAGCAGGTCCTCCACTCCAGCCAGGTGCTTGCCCAGGTCCTGAGACTGCAGCCGCCCCTGCCGGAACACGCAGCATGCTGGTGCCCGTCTGAGAGCCTTCTTGTTCGCTGCCAGTCAGGCACACGTGCCAACCTCCCGGGGTCTCCCTTCCAACCTCTTTGGGTGGTTCCAGGTGTTGCACCCAGGCGAGCATACCTGCTCACACCCACATGCAGGGACGCACCACGGTTCTGTTTAGGCACCCTCCCATGGAACGGCCTTTATGCAAATTCTGCTCCTGGAATCTTTGCTGTGACTCATTTCCTTAGCCCCAGAATCACAGACACACACCCTCCTATTGTCACTGCTCTGCCCCAGCAGCCCAGCTCCCTTCAGTGCCTCTCCTAGGCCCTTCCTTAGGGCCACCTATGGCACAGAAGACTGCAACAACTCTAACTGGTCTCCGTGCTCCCACTCTGGCTGCCCACGGCCTTCTCCACATAGTAGCCCAAGGGACCCTTTTAACAGGTAAGGCAGAATCGCATCTCTCCCTCTCTCAGAACCTTTGAATCACTAAGTGCTCCATGTTATTTTGAATAAAATTCAAACTCCTTGACCTAGTGAGCCGGCCGCTCCCCGCTTTATCTACTCAGGCCATCTCAGCACCTCCACGATTTCAACCACTGGAGTCCCACCACTAGCGCCGGCCGTTACCTTCATCTCTTCCATCCAGTCCATGAGGTAGAGCAGGTCCTGAAGCACTTTCTGCAGCTCCAGGTTGAGGAGGAGCCGCTCCCGACGCGCAGCCACCATCTGCCTCAAGAAGTCCCAGAGCCGAGCCACATTGTGCTGCCGAGCAGCGATACGCTTGATATCGTGGTAGCGCTCGGCGGCCAGCTCGGCGGCCACAGCATCCACTGCCTGCACCCGGCCACTGTAGGCCACGATGTCGGTCTCAATGGCTTCGTGCTTCCGCACTGCTGCCTCAACCGCAGCCAGTTCCAGCCCAAAGTTGTCCTGTGGCAGAGAGGCGAGAGGGGAAGTCTGGGAACCAAAGGACAGAACCTCTGCTGGCCCCGGCTGCCTCCCAGAGCGCCCGGCTGCAAGATGCCAGCCCCTGGAGGTGGCTCTCAGTTTCCTTTCCCCCTATCCCACGATCTTTTCTCCTGCTTGAGCTCCTGGCCCCTGGACCTGAGTCTGTCTCTTGCCTGCTTGTTCTGACTGGGGATTGAACTCAGGGGCGTCCTTTTTGTTTTTTATTTTGAGACAGGGTCGTGCTTAATTGCTGAAGCTGGTCTCATACTTGTTTGTGATCTTCCTGCTTGAGCTTCCCAAATTGCTGGGACTACAGGCATGTGCCACTGTGCCTGGCTGCTCCTGAGTTTCTCGGTCTGTCCACCTGTGCGATGGATTTCGTGTTTGATCATCTCCCCACCTTGCAGGGCTCCTTACTCATCACTGTCTCCCTTCCATTTCAACCCACCAGCCTGGATGTCCCTGGAGGCCCTGGTTTCCTACCTGGGACACAAGACGCTGGTTCTCACTGAGCCAGGTCTCCCGCATGGCGGCCTTGCGGTCGAAGCGGGCGGCCAGCTGCTCCAGCTTCTCCTGGCGGATCAGCTCCGTGCGCAGGGCCAGTTCCCGCTCATGCTCTGCTTTCTCCAGCCGCTCCCAGGCCTGCATGGTGGGGACAGGATCAGTGCATCAGAGCCAGGGTGGGGAGGGTCAGAGAGGAGGGGCAGGGGCACAGGTAAGTCCCGCGTCCAGCAGACCCATGGAATGTGGTCCGCGAGGCGCCTGCCTGTGTGTGGTGGTATGGAGAAACAGGAGCGCCGGACGTGCTGGGAAACCTCACAATAACTATGCCTGCTTCTGCACCAGGGCTGGAGGGAAATCACTGGAAACTGCTTGATTTGTTTGCAGTGGTGGGAGTGTGGGCAAACTTTGTTTTACTTTTATTCATCTTCTATGTGTTGTTTGTGAAAAAATGAAATAGAAAGTAGAAATAGTGAGTTGGGGACCTGTTGAATAAGACAAGGGACTTGGAGTATAATTCCTTACATGACCCTATAGGGACAGTCAGAGGAAGAGGAACTGGGCAAGATGTTTAAGAGGATGCACCAAGAGTCATGTCTCAGGGTGGGCACAGTGAGGTGGAGTATTCAGTTAGGGTGGTAGGGCTTGGTGGAGGTCAAGAGGGCTCTGGGCCTGGGCTGCCGAGGATGGCCCCCTGAGTGACAACAGGGTGCCTACAGACCTTGTTGATGTCAGAGATCAGCCGGCCCTCGCGGGGCGTGTAGACCTTCTGGTTGTTGGCCCGTAGCTTGCTCTGGATGGTGAAGAGCAGCACCTCCAAATTCCCTTTCTCAGTGAACCTGAGGAGGGACCAAACTGGGGTCAGAGGCAAGGGCCACTAGGGGCCTGTGAGGACTCAACTACAACATGGAGTGACCTAGGTTGCTTTTCTTGTCATAAAAGCAACACACGCCTTTGTGTGAAAGCCAGAACAAACCGGTAAACCCAAAAACATTGTTTTAGAGCAACAAAAGCCACACAGAAATGATGACCACTGTGACCCCTTTGTACATGATTGTTAATTTTTGTTTTCCACAGAGTCCCGGTGTATCCACAGCTAACAAGACCAGGACTCTCTTGCTGTAAGTTGGGCAGGCTCCCAGCACCTGGCAAGCACTAACTTGCTTCTCTCTTTCCATAGTCTACATTCTCTCAATTATCCCCATTTTACAGAAGAGAAAGCTGAGACACAGAGAGGCCAAAGAGGTTGCCCAACACAACGGCTCAGTAGCAGAGCCAAGATTTGAACTCAGGTGCTTGGAAGCCGGACACTTAGCATTTTGTTTTCTGTGGTCCACAAAGAATTCCTATAGCCTGCTTCTTCGATTATTTCTCATTAATATCTTTTTATGTCATTAAATACATTTGTTCAATACTATTTTCAGTGATTGCCTTGTGACTTGCCCTGTCCTCCCCACCTTTTGCAGTACTGGGGATTGAACACAAGGGTGCTCTCTGACCCCAGTCCCTCTGATTTTTAAAAAATTTGGAGCCACAGCCTTGCTAAGTTGCTGAGGCTGGTCTCAGACTTGCAATCTTCCTGCCTCAGCCTCCCCCATCGCTGGGATTACAGGTGTGTGTTACCATGCTAGACTTCCTGACTTATTTTTCTTTTACAAAGGTCATGCTCGTGAACATCCTTGAAGTTACATCTTTGTTTCGTATCCAGAATTCTCCGGGCAAAGGCACACCTTAAATCAATCCCTGGACTATACAGAAACAATTATTTTCTCAATGAAAATTAGTTTTGGAGCTGACACATTAATTAAAAGAGGGCTTAATGATAAACAGAAAAAAAACCATAAGTTTTAGCATGTACCATATAGAATCACCTAATAGCAATTCCACACATGAAAACAGTTAATTGCTAAAATATATAAATGATAGGAACCTCTGTGATGCTCATTCACCAGTCACCCCCGTGCTGCTGGGTGTGACCTGCCTGTCAGGTCGTGGCGCGTTTCCCTGCGGGGGGACTGGGGTGCTGCAACACCTGTCCCAATGACTCGACACACTGTGGTGAGCATTTCCGCAGCACAGATTTTTAAAAATGGCTCATGATTGAGAATTTTTACTTTGGAGCAACTATGTCGTTTGTATGATTCTGGCGCTGAGCTGGGGGAAATGAGCCTCCTGAGTTCATGTACTGCCAAACGTCCCTCCCATAAGGCCACTCGTAAATGAGGCTTCCTCTCACGTGGGCACAGCTCAGGGCACGCATGCCCTGGCAGGGTGGGACCTGGGGGGCACTTACTTGGGCGGCTTCTCCACGGTGCGGTAGGAATTGAAGGATTGCAGCTGGTTCTGGACACCGCTCAGGGAGTTGGCCAACTGCCTGTCATTGAGGGTCACGATGGTTTGCTCGATCCACTGCAGCAGTTCAGAGGCCAGAGACTCATACTTCTCCACCAGGCGCTCCGCCTCCATGGCGTGGTCCAGCACCTGCACCACAGGAGACAAGGACATAGGGTTCTTGCCAGTGGGGGTCCCTGGCACAGTCCTGCAATTCCACTTTGCCCCTGCTTTCGGGGAATAAGACCCCTGGGCCAGGCCTCTTGTGGCCTTTCCACCTCCTGTCTCACGGTGAGCAGTACCTTGCCAATTCTTTTGCCTTCCACAGCCAGGGCCTTCATCTTGGAGAAGTAGTGGTAGTAGGTAGCCACATAGGTTATGATGGATTTCTCATCTGGTTGGTCCACATTCACATCTGAGAAATGGGAATACTCAGGTCAGGTGGGCTTCAGAAACCTGCCTCCTGGAAGCAGGCCCCAAACCTGAGCCACTTGCACTGTGCCCAGGCCTCCCAACCCTCCATGGCGGGCATGTCTTCAGCTCCCTTACAAGCAAAGTGACACCTCCACTGTTCAGACTAAAAAGGCTGAGAAAAGCTCACCTTTTCCCCCTCTCCTAGACAAGGACAGGCCCTTCAAACAGTGTACACAACCTAGAAGCCAAAGCGTGCTTCTTCCCAGCATGCCCACTGGACATGAAAACTAGTTGCTTGAGAGAAGAAACACTAGAAAAGAAAGAGCTTGCCATTTGAGGTCAGAGCCTGGGCTTGCAGGCTGGAAAGATGTCTAAGAAGCCAACAGATTCTGGGGCAGTGGGACATAAGACTAAGCCTCCTGGACCTGGGATGCTGCGCAGTAGACACGCACGGAGGCCAGTGCCTAGCCCTGTCCTGGGACATGGCCACCCTTGTTTCCAGTCTAAGTCCCAAACCTCAGCGATGGGCCACCCAACGGCGAGAGTCCCTCAAGCAGAAACAGCTTCCACCACCTGAGCAAGGCTGACCGTGACTTGAAATCCCTGGGCTCCTTTAGTTAGGCCAGATTTCATCCTTCCCAAAGGTCAGACTATGAGACTGGAAGCCCCTTGACTGCTTCTGAAAACTCGCAGGCAGGCAGGAGCCACTGACGTCATCTCGGAAGTTGCAGGACACAACCATGTGCTTCTCAAAAGCTCTCCAGGGAACTCAATTCAGCCTACTTCTGTCTCTAGGTAACTGACGGTGATGTCACCATGCTGGACTAAGAGCGCTCAGGAGATGGGGCCACAGGTGGGGTGGGAAGCAGGAGAAAGTGACCAAGACCCAAACCTGCCCAGCGAGGTTTGGAGCTCTTCCAACAGGCAGGTGCTTGGCCCCTCCCTGCTCCCCTTTCTGGCTGCACCAGACTGCTCTCTGCTCTGCCAAAGGCAGCTGAGGAAACTGGCCCTGGAGCCAGGCTGCTGGAAGTCAGATCTCAGCTCCACCAGCCACACGGCCTTAGCCAGGTGCTCAACCTTTATAGGCTCCGTGTTCTTTCTCTTTCTTAAACTGAAGATGATAATGGTATGGGCTTCCAAGGGTTGTCGTAAGGATTTGATTAATTAAAACATGTCAAGTGCAGTGCTACACCAGGTACAAAGGAAGAGCCGAGTGGCCATCACTGATCTCATCAAATTTCTGAGCAGAAGCACAGGAGCCAGTCCAGAGGGGCAGCTGACCAGGGGCCAGTTCTCAGTGGAACCTCAAGCTCATGTAGCTTAAGTTAGAACCCTAGAATTTTAGAATAAGAAGGGCCCCTAGAAACCACGAGGACTAGCTCTCAGTCACAGAGCTTCTCTACGCAGGAGCTGGGATGGAGCCCAAGAGCCCTGGGATCTTTCTTCTGCAGAAATCCCTTTCTTCCTCCAGACTTTTTTTTTTTTTTTTGAGATATAATTTTCATACCATAAATTCATCTTTTTACACAGCTCAGTGGTTTTCAGTATATTCACAAGGTTGGGCCATCATTGTTGACTACATAGTTCCAGAACATTTTCATTCCCCTGCCCCAAGAAACCCCATACCACGGGTAGCTGCTCCACGTCCTCCCCTCCCCAGCCCAGCCTTCTGCCTCTGCCCCACCTTCAGGATCCAGCAGCTTGGTCAATCCCAGCTCCTTTTCAGCCAGATTGAAAGCATTCTGCAGATTGTAGTGTGCATTGCATTTCTTCAAGGACTCAAAATCCAGCAGGTCTGGCCTGGGGCAGGGGGAGATAGAAGATATCAAAAGCACATGAGGGCTGGGGGCTGTAGCTCAGTGGTAGAGTGCTTGCCTGGCACGTGTGAGGCACTGGGTTCCATCCTCAGCACCACATAAAATAAATAAAATAAAGGTATTGTGTCCATCTACACTAAAAATTAAAAGAAAAGCACATGAGATCCCCAAAGAGGAAAAGTCAGTCTGTTCCCCTTTATCCCTAAGAGTCCAACTCAATTTTGTCTAGAAGGGAACACTGCAGCTGGGCGCGGAGGCACATGCCTGTAATCTCGGTAGCTCCAGAGGCTGAGGCAGGAGGATTGTGGGTTCAAAGCCAGCCTCAGCAACTTAGCAAGGCACTTAGCAACTCAGCAAGACCCTGTCTCTAAATAAAATATAAAAAAGAGCTGCGAATGTGGCTCAGTGATTAAGTATCCCTGGGTTCAATCCTCAGTACCAGAAAAAAAAAAAAAAAAGGGGAGTAACCCAAACCAAATCTCCACTGCTCCCACCCTCCCCCATAGCACCCCCTACTTCTAACATAAGTTCTTGGTGGAGCACGATGCTCCCACATTCCAGTTCCTCTTTGTACACTTGTTCCTTACAGCTGTGGTGAGCTCATCTCATCACCTTTGGCCTACCTATGTGTCCCTTGGGTCATTAACCCACGTGCTTGCAAACCGGTCTTACCGATGTTTGTGTACGATAGCATTAAAGGCCAGTCCATCCCTCCAGCTGGTGGTGAAGTTGTGCACATTAACATTGGGATACCTGGAAAAAGGGAAAAGTGGAGAGTGGGGCCGAGCCCTGGTCTGGAAGGGAAGGACGACAGTTCCAGGTTGTGGATCCCACAGCCCGTCCTTCCTTTGATGCACAGCCTCAAAGCACCTGGCCCTCCACTGCCACATGCCCAGGGCCTCCTCACCCTGCGGTCTTCATCTGGCACCAGAGCAGCAGGGCGTCCTTGGCTGACTTCTTCTCCTTGTTGTCTTCTGTCTCCACACTGATGTCTTGGATCTAAAAAGGAAGAAATGCAGGGACCTCACTCCCTGGACAGGGGCACCTGGCGTTATCAGAGACACTCAGAAATGGCAGGAAAAGACTTGTTAGACTGCCATCATACAGGTGAAGGGACAGAGCCTAGGGCCCTTTCAGCCTGGGCAAGTGACATGAACCATTGGGTCTGAGGAATTTACGGCAGCAGGAGGGGTGGGAAGCCGGTGAGTACAAGTGCCTGCGAAGAGAGCTGGTTCTTCCGGGTGGGGAGCTGAGGGCAGATCAGTGGACATTTTCTGAGATCTGCTTTCAAAGGTGAAGCCGACAGAACTCTGCTTAGGGCTAGAAGAGGCAGAGAGGTCAGGTGTGACCAGGAGAGTTGAGATGACACTGGGACATAAGCCCATGGAGGAGGAGGCCAGACCTTTCCTGTGGTTCTCAAACTTTCAAACTCTCTGCAATGACGGACCAGTTTATAAGTTCCTAATCCCCTGTGAACCACCCTGGGGTCCCAAGGCACATGACCAGCACACAGAGCAGGCTCTGGGGAACTTTGCCACAGGGAGTTGGGCTACTCCAAACTGTCTCTCCCCTGTATAACAAGGCGAGTCCCCTGATCTGGCACACAGATGTGGCTGCATTGGCCAACTCTGGGCCAGGTTCCTGACACTCCATTTTTGAACTTATCACGGACCAGCTTTAACTGTTCCAGGTGCAGAACAGGTGCTTGGTCCGCTCACTGAGGAAAACCTTCGAGGGTACCTGGAACCGAAGGATGATGGTCCAGACCAGCCCAAGGGTCAGTCGGTGGTTCCCATCCACGATGTCATGGGAGCCCATGTTTTCCAAGTGCACTTTTTGCTCCTTCAGAAACTGCAGAGCCTTGTCTACATTCTCCAAGCAGTGGATCCTCATGCGGCCCTTGGTAGGCTTTGGCTGTTGGGGGACAGTGGGGAGGTGGCACAGTGGCATGGGGCTGCGGGTCTCCTCCTTCCTCCCCAGCCTTCCCAGGGCCGTGCTGGGCACACCTTCCCATGTCCTCCCTCAGGAACACAGGGACAGCCTCAGGGCCGGGGCAAAGGTCAAGGAGCTGACGCTAAGGTAATAGATGAGGCTTGGGCAGATTAAGATTCCCAAGGGAATTAATTGCACCCAGAGTGGGTGGGAGAAGAAGTGTTTTCAATGGGGCTACTGTTCCTGGCTCTGCGCAGCAAGGCCCCTGTGAAATCCACGCAGCAAAGCCTCCTGGAGCGGAACCATCCTCTGGGCAGAGGGGCTCCCTGTGCTCTGCCCTGCTGTGGCTCGTCTCTCTAGGGGCCCCTCCTGTGGCTTGTCCCTTTGGTCAGTTGCTGATCCCCACCCCCATGATCGCAGCTTACCAGTGTCTCTCCCGAGAGCACCTCCAGGAGCCTCAAGAGGTTGCGCCCATCCCGGAGGTCGCTGTACAGGTCTCCCACCCGACACGTCACCCGGGCCAAGTGCGAGTTCACCCACTTGGTGAAGGTTTTCTTCTGCACGGCTTCTCGCTCATCTGTGGTGGCAACGTGGGGTCATTTCTATCCTTTGAGTACGGTATGCCTGCTTCTAAATACCAGTTGTGTGGGGGGGGGAGTAGGAAGTCAGGTGGGAAGTGAGGAATTTGGAATGAGCTCATAAGCAAAGTAAAAAACAAAAAAAAAGGAGAGACAGAAAGCAGGCTCTGAGGAGAAAGAGAAAAGAAACTGTCCACGGAGGGGCTGGGATTGGGCTCCTTCACGTAACAGTGGGGGAACACTAGGCAGGCTACTCCACCCATCAACTTCCCCACCTGTAAAATGGGCAAGCTACTATCTACTTTAACACTCATCATGTTGGTTAAATGAGATACTAGTATGGGAAACCTAGTGGGTGCCTGGCACAGCTGGCTTCCTGGTAAGGAGCTGCCATAAAGGAACAAAGCAGAGGGCGTGGTCTGAAATTACAGCAGCGGCCCTACCAAGTGGTCATTAGGACTTGACAGTGGAGAGGTTGCGGGCCTCCTCAGCTCACTGTCCTTAGATCATGGACAGAAAGGATGGGCCACTCTACTTCTGGGGTGGGGTCACCCAGTTGGCTGCAGGGCACCTAGTCCCAGGACACCAACATCCCAAGATTGAGAATCAAGACCTTGCAAGTTGGGGAGCTCTCCAAAACAAGGGAGGCAGGCAGGCCGAGTTAGGTGCCGATTTAAAAAAAAAAAGAAATAGAAAAAGTCCTGCTGCTTGGCCCACAGGATGGCTCCTGGTCAGGGGATGCTGTCAGGTTCCATAGAAAAATGAGAATTAGCAGGGCGCGGGGTGCACACCTGTAATCCCAGTGGCTCAGGAGGGTGAGGCAGGAGGATTGCAGGTTCAAAGACAGCCTCAGCAATTTAGCAAGGCCCTAAGCAACTTAGTAAGACCCTGTTTCAAAATAAAAAACAAAAAGGGCTGGGGATGTAGCTCAGTGGCAGAGCAGGCCCGGGTTAAATTTCCAGTACCAAAAGAAAAATGAAAATTAAGAATTTTGCCAAGGGAAGAAAGAGGTTCAGGCCTTTGGGAAGCTGTCTGGTGGCTATGATTCCTGCCAGTTCTCCTCCAAGAACCCAGTGTGAGAACCTAGCCCAAGTGGCCTGGCGTGAAAAGTCACCTTTGTTCCCATCTCAGCACCAGCATCTCAGAAACTGAAAAGACTCATCCCTTAATCTCACATTCCTGTGCACCTCACCCACAGAACAGCAACACACCCATGTCTATTCCTGTCTTTCTCACCTCCAGCCCCTGTACCTGTGCCAAACCTGGGGTCCTAATGACCGCGTGGGATGCTCCAGAACACCTGTGGAACCAAGGGTGCCTCTGGACACCATTCAGAGTCTACAGGCTCTGCCTAAGCTGGGGATGGCCCAGATCATCCTGCCATGACTGGATCCAGCAGGGACTGCCCTGCTATCAGGCACGGTGGGGTGAGGCCACTTTAGCACACAGGTAGAATAAAAGGGGAAGACATGGAAACAGTGATGGCTAGAAACATGGGCAATGCCAAGTCCCAAAGCATACGTCACAAAATGCCTATAGCATCCCTAGACACACACACACACACACACACACACTCACACCATGAAACAGAGACTGCCAGAAATATATTTAAATGTGTGCGCCAGGACGGACATGCCTGTTCAGACTTCTACCTACCAACCTCTCCTTTGACACACACCCAGTTTCCACACACGCCCCCTCACACACATTCAGATGCCCACTCAGAAGCCCATGGAAACAGAGGAGCTCTAGATTCTGCGCCTCTGGCCCACTCCCTGTCTTCCCTAACTGGGGGAGCATGGCCAAACCCTGGGAGGCCAGCTGCCTGAACCTGCTGAGGCTTCCGTTGCTGGCACTGACCTAGGTCTCCTTCCATCCTCTTTACCTTTGCACCCAGTGGGGCCCTCAAGGTCAACCTCCAACCCCCACTACCCCACATGGTCCTTCCCAGTGGGTCCAAACCTTTCCCAATTCCGTCTACATCTCTGGAGTTTCTGGCCACTTGTAATGATTCCCTCTAGGGCTGGTCACGTTGTCTCCCAACACAAACATCTGAGTCACAGAAAGTGCGGGCTCCAGCTCCTGGGCCCAGGCTGTTCCCCCTGCCCTAGTCCCCTCTCGCACACCGGCTCCACTCTGCCTGGGGGCACTCACCTTGGAGCTGTTTGAAGCGTCCTTCCAACACGCTGGCATACTGAGCAGGGTTGATGAAGGCAGCCGGTGAGAGCAGGAGGCCCCCCGGGTTCTGAGACCCTTCCACAGCCTCGTAGTAAAGCTCTTCGGCCCCGTTCAGGCCGTTCCCGTGCACCCTGCCCACTGCGTTCCCGCTCATGCCGCCCGCTGCCCCTACACAGCCCGCGGCCCAGAGTCCATGCTCCCCTGCGCCTCGCAGCTGGCAAGTGTCTGTCCCCTGGAGCCTGGGCCTGGGGTCCCGGGAGGCTGCCGTCCCTGGTGGCGGGGATTCAAGGATGCTGGGAGTTTCAAGGAGTGGGAAAAAGGAGTTACGGGATGCCTGAGCTCCTGAAACCAGTGAGCGGGGCACACCTGGCTGCGGCGAGAGGAGACACCAGCAGCTCCCGACAAACAGGTCGGACCGTGGCGGGGGAGGGGCGGGAGGCTGCGGGGCGGAGCCGGGCTGCGGCAGGGCCAGGCCCGCGGGGGCGGAGGAGGGAGCTGCCAGCGCCGGGAGACCTGCCCGTCAGCCCCAGGTTGCCCAAGACTGGGAAGACCCGCGAGAGAGGCCCCCAGAGCAAGCCGTCTGCAGGGGCTGCAAGCAGGCCCCTCTCCGGTGACCCTGGGCGGTCCCTCTCCAGGACGCCCGCTTTGATCTTAGCTCAGAAAGCAGAAAAACAGAAACCTGGAAACAAGGAGATCCTGGAAGAAGCCAAGCCCCCAGCTGTGCTAATAGGTATGGCTAGGGTCCTCGCCACTAGGGAGTTAGCTTCATCTATGGTTCCAGCCCCTTCCTTGCCCACGAGGGCTCTCCTCAGCCAATGTCCCAGTCCCCAGTTCCGCCTCACTGCTGGGCTGTCCACCACATCTCCTTCCTGCCTCTTCCTGGGCTTCATACACTCGCCCCTCCCCCATCGCCTTCCTTTTAGTATTCTTGAGCACCTGGGGGTGTGAGGCACAGAGTACACCAGCACAGCCATATGGAGCCGCCTCTTCAGGGCATCACCCGTGTAGTGGAGAGATAAAGAGCACCAAGTGGCTCGCCTATGTGCACAGACAGACTCATAACAGTCCTGGGGGCACAGGTCTCGAGGGCACAGGTGTTAGGACGATATTGGGTGGTGTGTACACAGACATGGTCAGAGTTCCGGGTGGCACATGTCCTGTGCACCCAGTTATCACGATCATACAGGTTGGCCTGTGGACCATGCACAGACACCATGACAGTCCTGGGAGGCATGTGTCATTACAGATACGGTAAGAGTCCTGGTTGGTGTGCGCACACGCGCTGTGTGCAGATACCATGGCAGTAGTAGAGAATCATGAACCAAAAACTAGGGTTCCAGGTACACTTTCCCTCAAAGAGGGGACATTTTCCATATCCCACACCTCTGTTTTCTCTGAGATAGAGAAGCATTGGTATGACAGTTTCAACAGCCAGCCAAAGACCCTGCCAAAAGGGAAAAGGGTCCAGGTCTTCAGAACCAATGGCCACCACACAGGGATCCTTAGACTGATGCTGCGTTGGCTGAGAAGAACTATGTGGGGAGATTTGGGAGGGTATTGGGGATTTAACCCAGTGAGACTCAACCCCTAAGTCACATCCCCAGACCTTTTTATTTTTTATTTTGAGACGGAGTCTGGCTAAGTTGCTGGGGCTGATCTCAAACTTGCAATTCTCCTGCCTGGGTCTCCTGAGTCACTGGGATTACAGGCCTGCACCATGGTGCCCAGCTATTTGGGGAGTTTTTAAAAAGCCTCAGTTATGGCCCATATGGCCAAAGATTCACTGTTGCCAGGGAGGAGCTTGGGAGCCTGTGACAATAGTTCCTGGATAAAGCATTCCGCCAGGTTTGGGAACCTCAGCCTCAGTATCTCTTCTCTCAGCAGCCACCCACTGGGGCGCCACCTCTTAGGAGTAGTCCTGACTTCTCACTGGACTGGGCTGGGCAATGACAAGGGAGGGATGGAAGAGGGGAGCCAGACTGGGTGGGTGGCCTAGGGGTGTGTGGGTGACTCAGCCCCACGCCAGCCGCTGGTGGTGTCAGGTGGCAGCCACACTGTTGCCATGACAACTCCTCCCCCAGAACGCAGGGAGGCCCGCTGAACGAGTTTGTTTGTGCTCAGAGCCACCGAAAGGGAGAGCCCTGGCCGCAGGGAAGGGCAGGGACCCAGGTGGGTGGAGAGCAAACCCTGGAGAATGGGCTTCGGACAAGACTGCAGTGGGAGAGGACCTGCTTCCGGAAACAGGTAGATGAAATAATGGGAGTAACAGGTGGCAGGTGGAAGGAACAGGTGGGGAGGGTGCAGAGAGGATGGCGGCCGGGAGGGAGAACAGGAATGGGAAATGACAGTGGAAATCAAGGAAGGCAATGAAAGGCAGGGATGTGGGGGCGGAGACAGAGTGACGGTGAGAGTGCAAAAGGAGGAAGGGACATGACCCAGGGCCCAGGCCAGTGAAGGCAGCTGTTGAGTCAGTGGAGCAAGTCCAGGGGTCAGCTCCGATGGCATCTCTGGGGCTGGGGTAAGGGAGGCTGCGGAAGGTTCTGGATTGCAGGAAGTTTGCTCTTGAGGCTGGATTTGGGGACCAGGGGCCTGGTGGGCTATTCTGGGTTTCCCACTTAGTGCAGCAACTTAAAAAGTGAGGTCTTCCCATAGGGGTGAAGGACTCTCCACCACCCGCTTGGGACCAGCCTCCTCCAGTCTCCTCAGCACCTCCAATGGTCCTCCCCTGACCTCACCTGCCAGGGCCTTGATTCGAGACCTCTCAAAAAGGCGAGCCGAGCTGCTGTCATTGTCCCAGTCTGAGTCGGGCAGGTCCCAGCGGTTGTTGATGTCACTGTACTGGCCCTGGATTTCCAAGCTGTCGAAGTCTGTGGGTGACAGAGTGCTGCTCATGGTGGTGGGTGGCTTCCTGCTCCTGCAAGAAGATGAAGCTGGTGAAGGGCATCTCCGGGCCTCTGGACCTCACCCTCATCGTGTCCTTCCTTCCCTAGCTCTGCCATTGCTCTCCTCAAGGCCAGGGGTGGGTTGTTTGTTTTAGTTTGTGAAAATTGGTCCCCAGGGGGAGAGGGGAAGCCACCATGAGGGATAGGAATGTGGAGAGACTGAACATGGCAGATGGCCTGTGGAGGGAGGCAGGAGGGTAGCACACGAGTCTGCACAGGGTAGACAGGAAGGGCTTCAAGGGCTCAGCCGAGGGAGGGCAGGGCAGAGCTGGGGGCTGAAGGTGGCCCTGAGCTTAGCATGTGTCAGAATGGCAGTGTGTGGAGTGGTGTGAGGCAGACAGCGGGTGTGAGTCCCCTTGGGTAGTAATGAGTGGAAAGTAGAGTTCTTCCCTCCCCACTTCTCCTGTTCTGAGCCTTCTGCCTCCTGTAGGCTACTGAAGATGGAGAGACCCAGCTTCTGCTCTGGTCTACCACATCTACCACAGATCCTCTAGATGGACTGATGAGCTGATAGGCAAGTAGGGACCAAGTACCTCAGAGTTCAAAGAAGGACACAGTACAGTTCTCTCCCTTTATATCCTTTTGTTTGCTATAAAGAATGCTTAATATGTGCTCCATGAATGTCAGCTGTGCTACATGCTCCTGCTGTTCACATGCATCTCCTCATCACAACCCCCAGTGGGGCCAGGGTCCATGGCTGTCCCCATTTCATAGATGAGAAAGCAGCACCACAGAAATAAGCCACTGGTTCAAGGTCACACAGCTGAAAGGACCACCAAGGGTTGTATTGTTATTAGTGGATTTTTTTGTTTTTTGGTACTGGGGATTGAACCCAGGGGTGCTTAACCACTGAGTCACACCCTCGGCCATTTTTTATTTTTTATTTTGAGACAGGGTCTTACTAAGTTGCTGAAGGTCTTGCCAAGTTGCTGAGACTAGCCTTGAACTCATGGTCCTCCTGTCTCAGCCTCCTAAATTGCTGGGATTACAGGCATGTGCCATGGCACCTGGCACCACCAAGGTTTGGAAGCAAAATTCTTTCTCTTAATTACAGTCTCTGAGATAGAGATTTACAGGTTCTCTGACCGACCTGGAGCCTATTAGTGTGGTGGGTTATTAGCACTCACCACAGCACTCTAGGGCCTGGCTGGGAAACCTGGATCATGTATGCTGCCAGCATTATTTATGACCTTAACCAAACACATTTTGTCCTCAAACCTAACAAATGAGCATGGGATCAGTTGCTGGGGACTTTTTTTTTTTTTTTTTTTTAATTTAATGAGTATTGTTCAAAGTTCTTGTGTAACATGACGCTCGGCAGCCATTCAAGAGAATGGTGGTGGGGGGTGGGGGAACGGTGTCTGTAACTTTAACAAAATGCCAAATTCTACATTTCTCATTTTTCTAGTACCTCTTGAATATGAAGACATTTTAATCCTGAGCTCTACTTCCTGGGACCAGGGCTGTGAACTTGGCCATCTCTGGTTCTGGGAAGGAAGGAGGTAAGGAGAACCTCTTCTGTGGTTTGGGGAAGGAAAAAGGAATGGGTAGTGAGACTGGGGTGGCTGGGAAGGTTTGTTCCCAAGGGCACGCAAAGGCAGAACTTGGCTTCTATCATTACCTGGTTCCACGAAGCTGAACCTGACCTGCTTGAAGGGCAGGGCTGCCAGCCCCTCCCCTTTCCTTGCACATCAGGATTTCCCTGGGAGTAGCCTTAATGAGGTGTGAGGGAGCTCAGGTCTAAGGTCCCTCAATTGGGGCTTTTCAATCCCTGTAGCAGAACAGGGAACTTAATTTCCATTAGGCCTAGGACTCCTGCCCCATCATTTCCCCCAACAGATTCTTCTGGATTTGCTCTGTAAATATTTATATAAAAGTAAATTCCAGGGCAGAGGTGAATCACCCCGAGCAAAGAGCACTGTGGGCCAGGCACGACCTGAGCTAGTCACCTAACACTCTTAGTTGCTGGATGGCAAAGCAGTCCCGTCCCAGCCCTTCAGGTTAGGGAATTCCGACCAGCAGCCACTGTCACACTTAGCTCTGGGAAGGGGACTTCCAGCTCTCAACCCATGCAGAGACCCTTACACAAAAACACCAACATCTGAAGACCCCTGAGGGTCAGTGTATATGACCTTGTCCCTCTTACCAGGAGTCACAAACTCACTGAAGCCAGTCCCCAGGAGTGTTTTGTTTGGCCAACATTGGCTTTAAAATAACTGATTTTGGATTCTTTCAGGTGGGATTGGTTCTACCTTCTCCACAGACCTCACCATTCCCTTTTGCTCCTGTGCAAATATGATTTACATATTTATGTTACCCTCCTGGCCCCTGAAGGCCCCTGAGGTTTTCAAACCATTATCACGTGTCTTTGTACTCCACAAAGAGCAGACACTTAAGGGAAGCAAGTTTTTGACTGCTGTCTCTAAGCCAGTGTGTTCCCCAGACCTCCAAAAGCCTCATGAACCCAAACACGCACTGTTCTTGCTTGTTTTTGGTGACCCAACTTGGTCCTTCCAAGGACCTACCAGGGTCCAGGCATAGGATTCAGACCTTCCAGGGGAGGCCTGGCTGGTACAAATTCTCTGTGGAATCCCATCATTTGGGGGAGAAAACCTGAAACTGGAACCTCCTCCTGTCAAAGTTCAGTCAGGGACATCTGTGCTTTGCAACCTGAGTTTCCAAGAATGCCATGATATGGATAAGGAACCAAGACAGCACTATGGGGGGTCAGAGATCTCCTTAGTAGCATTGTGCTGTAACTCCAGAGACTTCCTGAGAATGCTGTTCATCACTGTGGCTCTGAGGCCCTGTCTCTGCGCCTTGAAAATTGCGTTCTCTGAGCATTCCAACTCTGCAGCCTCCGAGTTTTTTGAACAATATGTTCTCTGTCAGTGTCCCCGGCTGCCATCTCCAGATTCCTATAGTTTTCTGTTTGAATTTCTCCTACCCAGATCCTGCTCTGGTTCCCTTTCACTGGCACCATTCATAGAGCACCATTCCTTGCCTGTGACCTGAGACTCTATGCTCATAGGCTGCTGGGGAGCTCCCCCAGCCTCATAACCCCCCGTCTCTCCCTATACCCTTTTCTCAGAGGATTCCTGAACTCTGGCAATAGGGTGGTGCAGCAACTAATCCAGATTACAATTTGTCCAATCCCTTATTCTTAGCCACTGACCTCTAGCTGGGCCCAAGTAGCTTATATTGTTAGTGTCAGAACAATGTCAACTTCCGCCAGATGCAGGCTTGGGGTGCTGCGGGAACTTACACCCAAGCACTGTGGGATGCACACTCTGCTCAGCTGGGTACATGTGGGGCTTCTAGGGCAGCTGTCTTCCCTCCCCCTCTTCTCTCGTTTTAGCTGGTGTATAAAGCTAGAAATCCTGCCCCCAGGCTAGAAGCTATCTTGTACTCTAATTCTTCCTCTCACCTTATCCTGCTTCTGCTTAACTCTTTTCCTCTCTCAGAGACAGTTGATGGGTCCAATTCTGTGCTCCGCACAGCATTTCAGCTGCAGCTATGGCTGCGTTTATCACATTATATCAGTTGTTTATGTTTCTCTCTGCTGGCTCCAATTTTAACTCATTGAGGGCTGGGTCTTAACTTCTTTTTGTTTGGGGGGCCCAGCAGAATAGGTATTCAATAAAGAGACATTGAATGAATTGAGTACGATTTATTTATTTATTTTTTGGCCATCCAATTAATGTCTTTCTTAGGGATGGAGAAAGGATCATGGAAAGAATGAAAACCGGGGTGCAAAAGCTGATCCTCAACTGGAGTACTTTCGGGGTTGAGCTCTATGGAGGACCAGGATTCTCAAAACTCACGGGAATCACAGTTACCTAGAATGGAGGGTCCAGTTACTGAATGGTTCCCCCTACCCCAAGTTTCTGATTCAGAGATGGGGAATTTGCATTTCTAACCTGTTCCCAGGTGACATTAAAGCTGCTGGCATAGAGAGCACACTTTGAGGGTCACTCTTGTCCTAGGATGACAAGCAGCTGGAATTGGTTAGGGGAGCTACGAGAACTGAGAAGACACATTTTCAGGGGTGAGTGTGACTAGATTTAGTTTCTAGGTGTGTTCAGGCCCCATCCCATGCTAAATTCCAATATAACATCCCCTCTAGAGCCCCATCCATGAGAAGGAGATTGAAGATGGAGTGGGCTCTAGAGCTAACAAAACTGAGCAGATGCCCTGACACAGCGAATCACAGAAGTGCTGAAGGAGGACAGGGCTGGAGCAGCCAGGGAAAGACAGAAAGGAATAAATGACAGCAGGATGAATAATAGATTAGAAGAGATGGGGACTTTGGCAAAGTAAAAATCTTATTTGATTTCAAAGTATAAAGGGTGAACTGGCAGAAAAAGGAGAAAGAAATCACAATGAAACCCAGGGCTCTGAGGGAGGCAAGAGATAGATAGATGTTCCCAGGGCAGAGAAGAGGAGGAAGGCAGGAAAGACAAAAACCCCCAACCATTTCCCAGGTCAGGACTCACTCTGCTCTGAAGAATTTAGAGTCTGGACTAAAGAGGGTCTGAATTTTGACTCTCTCCTGCAGAGTCATTTAGAGTCTTTCACTCCCTTCCCCAATCCTGGGTTTACATCATTTTCTCCATGGGATGCAGAAAGCTCCATTTTAGCTTTCCTTCACTAATTCTTTGCTCTCCTGAATGTGCCAAGAGGTTACCTCACACCTCCAGCTAAGATACAGATTTGGAACTCAGTCCGCCCTCTTCTTCAAGGAAGATGCCGGCATCTGCCAGCTTTCAGTGTTGGAGTTGTGGCTGCTCTCAGGGGGAAGCTGCTGAGAAACAACCCGCTGAGACAGCCTGTAGCAGGTTAGAACAGGGGCAAGCCTGCATCTCAGACAAGGAGCAATGTCATGAGGTTAATAGGGCAAAGTTAGTCACTGCCAGAGTGGATGGTGGTATGGACAGTGGTGCTGGAGGTAGAATGGCCCAGCCAGGACGCCTCCCTGGGTAGTTGTATGACAGGCCGACTCCACAACCCTGTAAATGTCCCGGCCCCCGAAAAACCTTACAAGACGCTTCCCCATAGCTCCAAAGAAGAGGCTTCCTTCAGCCTTTGCAAGTGCCAGGTGGTCGCCGCCGCCAACGTGTCCCCCTCTTCCACACACTGCGAGGGAGCCTACGTGGAGCTGGCACCCAAGGGGTCAGGAGAAGCCCACGCGGCTCCAGAGCGAGCCCTCAATAAGGGAGGGAGACGACTGCCTGCAGACGCGGGACAGAGCCAGCCAAGCGCGTCCTCGGCATCCGGACCGGCGCCGGCTAGTCAGCCTGCGGAGCCTCAGCAGGAGAACTGCCTGCGCTGTCAGACACGCTCCGCGCCATCCGACCCCTATCCATCAGCGCGTCTGTCAAGCCCCAACTCTTCCAGACTCTTCTCTTGGCTCTTGAAAGGCCCGCGCCCCCCAGTCTCGACCCCCACCGTCCTCACACTGGTACCTGGCTGCTGGCACATGACACTGTGCATCCTGTCCCCAGTATCCCGCAGGATTCAGGGCCAGGCGCCGCATCCTTCCTTCCCGACTCCCTGGAACCCACCCGGACCCCGACCCCGCCGCCGGCACGC